GTACCTGCTCAACTCGCCACCAGACCTCTGCATAAAAAAGTCTGCATTTTCAAAAATAATGTCTGCATTTTCAAAAATAATGTCTGCATTTTCAAAAATAAAGTCTGCATTTTCAAAAATAAAGTCTGCATTTTCAAAAATAATGTCTGCATTTTCAAAAATAATGCCTGCATTTTCAAAAATAATGCCTACATTTTCAAAAATAATGCCGGCATTTTAAAACAATGTCTGCATTTTCAAAAATAATGTCTGCATTTTCAAAAATAAAGTCTGCATTTTCAAAAATAAGCACTCTGAATTTTGGCGGTAACGGCACCTCATACAAACATACCACTATAAAAACTGAATTTTGAACGGGCATTTTGCGAAAACATCCGACGATATATCTCGCACGGGACGAATTTTGACAAACATTTTTCAAATTAATACCAAGAAGTCATAACCAGTAATTACCTAAATGTCTTTGCCAATTCTACATGTATAATCCACGCTTAGTTGACCATTAACCGACACAGTTATAAACAGTTTTTCAAACATAATTTATATTTTGTGATTTCAAAAAAGTCATGCCTTGTTGTTTTATGCAGAATGCATGTACACGCCAGTAAAAATCTACTAAAAATTGCCAAAATCAAACCCAAATTTCTCTGTTTTCCTTCGGTAAAATTTTTTAAAACTTTGCACATTTTTTAATATCGGCACAACAAGTGTAATATCCTTTTTTCTTAAAATTAAGTCTAAGATTTTTGACGTTTTTTAAATTTTCTAAGAAACGTATCGATTTAATTTTTTTAAATTGAAGGGAAAAAATCATACAAGTATTATCCTTTATGCAAAGTTTTAAAAAATTTCACCGAAGGGAATTTCTAAAATGACCTGAAAAAGACAAATTTTGAGCTTTATTCTAAGCATGCTGTTGCCATGACAACATATTTTTAACACAAAAGTAGCAATTTGCAATGTTCAGGAGAACATTGTCAATGTGTCCAATGAATTTCGTTTTCATGTCATGTAAAGTAAAGAAACAGGAGTCTCCTGACTACTATAGTGTAGTAAATTAAAAACCCCTAGGGAGCCACCTTAAAGGTTTGACAGTTTGACTACAAAATATTGCATGTATGGCGCGCAGAGTAGAATTTATACCTCAATGTGTTTGTATCATATGCAATACACATATAGCCATTCGCGCATCCGTGATGTACAGTCAATGGCGCGACATCCGTGATGGGTCCAAAGCTAATAAACCTGCTACTGATCGATTTAAGACGTTTTACCCTCAAACAATACATCTATACAAAACGCGGAAACATTTACTTGCTACTGATAACTACAAGAAACAGCATACATTTTATTGTGTTACTGAAGATTTGTTGGGTCAAACAACATTATATATGGTATAGATATTTCATAATATAACGAACAATGTAAACTAGGCATACATTTCGCTGAACGTAACTTCGGTCCCCTTGGACATATCTTTTTCGTAATAGTATTAATGGAACCAGAATCCGAAACACTATTTATAGTGTTATTTCCAAGCTTGTGTCTTCAGATTTTCATCTTTTATTTCGGTATTTACAGAATATTTATATTTTAGCGGGGCCCATGGAACGTACATCAAAACAACGCGCTGTTTAAATCGTAGGGGTCTAAAATTCGACTTAAAAGACGTTTTAGCACGTATGCCGTCATTTTCAGGTCAGTGTAGCCTGCGTGCAGGCCCAAGGGAACCTTGGGCCTGCACGCAGGCTAAGGTCAGTGTGAACGCCTGAACAGGCGTCTTGTTAACTTTTAATTACTTCAAAATGCACCTTTTGAATAACTAGTTGTGTTCATATTTAATACTTTGTCTTTGTAAATAAATATACGCTACAGTATATGCACGCCAATAACTGAGCTTGTACACCGGTAGCCTGCGGGCAGCGCCTTCCCTCGTTTACGTGGTATGGGGCTGCCCGCATGCTAGTACACCGGTGTCCCAGCAGATTTGGACTCCCCTCAAAATGGACCCCCCGGCCCAAATCCGCCGGGACTCCATATCCGCTGGCGAATATGGACTTATGGGGGTCTTTGTTCGCTAGGGGATTTGCACTCCCCTCGCGAATTTGGACCCCTCGCGTATTTTATCATTGCAACGTATTGTATTTTGAATATTGCACTGAAAACGTTCTAAATCGTCATAAATCTCATCTGATTTATTTTAAAAACCGTACGAAGATTTTTAGATCATCAAATCGTAGATTTTTAGATTAAAGAATTCCGCAAAGTTTATGATTTATAATTTTTCTGCTACATGAGTTTATTTCTATGATCTTGGAATGTGCGAGAACTGAGAAGCGCATGAAGACTTCACAAGTATTTTACTCCTTGAAATTGCTATCTGCTCTGACTCTTAACTGCTCAAATAAGAACGGATAATGAAAATATATTTCAAATTGTTTTTGCCTTAATTAACATACCCATAACAAAGTGATGCATTCTATTTTAAACTCACGCCTAACTTTCCATGCACATTCAACTGCACGTCTTTTTGTGAATTTTAGGGGGTCCAATTCCGCGGAAGGGGGTACATATCAGCTAGTGGATATGTACCGTAGGGGTCCAAAGTCGACCCCTCAGGGTAAGAAGTATATTGCTACCTCTAAAGACTTTAATAATAATATTGTTCTGGTAAAATGATATATTAAATATAATTAGTCCGCAGGCCTTTCCATTCGTTCCCACCAATTTTATTTTTTTGAAAGGCCTGCGGAGGTAGAGTATGTTGCATATATTTCTCGATGAAGAGATTTGTTTTGAATGCGAACAATGCTGAACGATGATCATAGTTGGCAAGTCCGGTGTACAAGCTCAGTTTTTGGCGTACATATGGCGTGTATTTGTTCACAAAGACAAATTACTATTAAATATAAACACAACTAGTTATTCTAAAGGTGCATTTTAAAGTAATTAAAAGTTAACTGGCCAAGTAAGACGAAGTTAAACACATTAAAGAAAATGCTTTATCGCGGAGGACGGGACATATAAACAGATCGTCAATTTATTAAATTAAATTGTCTATTTCCGTCCGATAGTTTGTTGTATGATTTTATATATTTGTCAGCATTGTTCGCTGAGTGTCCAAACATTAGAATTTTATCTTGATTTTCTTAAACTTCTATACAGCACAAAATTAAGCGCAACAGATTATATTTCAAGTCATTCATTTCAAACTTTTGTATGCCCCGAAGGAAATCGTGATTCTTGAGGAAATCCCCTGAATTAATTATTGTGTTGTTATTTTAAACGCATGCAAATTATCAATTAACCAATGAAATATCTTCATTTGTCATATATTATTCAAATAAAACACTGTCCAATCAGAGCCCTTTCCCCATGTCTGGGGAAAATTAGGTCATTTCCGTCTTTCTGAGCAGTACTGTATATGTGTTATTCTACTTACTTTGATATCATGGTTGTTTTAAAGTACATATAGACCCTTTGCACTGACGTCATAAATCCTTAGAGCGTCTTCCAGATGCTCCCTAACAACAGTTGTTCGGGTACAACAACCACATAGTACATACAGTGCAAAAATTAAGCATTTTAATACGAAATTATTATAAACTTTTACAAAATTTGCTTTGTTTAGAAAAATTATATTATGCATAGACTGCAAATTTGTCCTCCAGATGCATCCTCACCGGCGCTGCGACGTCATGTGCAAATGGGTCTATAGCCACTTTTTGTATAGCCTGCGTGCAGTTCCAGACTCCAAAGGAAGTAGGGACTGCGCAACTTCGAACCAAAGCTTGCTACGCCCGCTCAGCCCGTTTTCCAGATTTTTGGGAAAATAATTTATGCAAGAATTAATTAATTAATATTAATTCCTACTTCCTTTGGACTCTGGGACTGCACGCAGGCTACTTTTTGTAACGATTGATGTAATTATGATATGAATTACAGTATTCGCAATTAAATTCGCTCAAGTTCTTTAAAGATTTCCAGTGATATCACTATATGTCATGTATGCCCTGAACTTCTTTTAGTGGTATACTGGTGCATGGCTCACAACTGATTGGAAGCTTGCATGGTAACTGAAGAGAAAACAATGATATAATTCATAAGATGTTAACAGGTAATTTTTCTTTTAACTTCTTGTAACTTCTTCTCAACATGATTTTAGACCCAATCATTCCACAGTTACTGTAATGTTGGAAATTACGAACAAATGGTTTCATAATATTGATATCGGCCAATTAAATGGGTTGGTATTTCTTGATCTTAAGAAGCATTCGATACTGTAGATCATGAAATACTACTAAATAAATTACATCTTTATGAGGTAAAAGGAATTGTTCTTAATTGGTTCAGATCTTACTTATCGAACAGAAAGCAACATTGTCGGGTAAACAATCACCTTTCCCACCCTACCTAGCTGTTGACTTTAGTAAGTCCTAGATGAAGATATGTTGTGTAGGAACTTCAGCGTTTTCTCGAAAACGAAGCGTTTTAAAACAATTTATTAAAACAAACTCACTTTGAAAACGATTTAATTGACGTAGAGCAAACTCGTCATCATGTATGAAACAATCAAAGTGATAGATTTCGTATTCAACCCTACTGTATTTCGACTACGGCCTACGCAAATTTGGCTTTATGCTTTCAACTGTATCTTCAGGAAGAGCAGTAAAACAAAGGGTTTTGGTTTGGAACTTTCTTAACCTTCTATGTGCGACAAACCATCCCATTTTGGCAATCAGGTCTAGGGCTCTGTATTAACTGCATACATCTCCCCACTGCCAGAACGAGCATGGATTTTGAGCGTTTGAAGAATGACCGTACATATTTAATATTTAACCGTTCGTACGTTTGCCGGATTTTTAATTGTTGGACAAACAGGCACTTTTTCAAAAAGCATTTTTAAACAAGTAGCAATTTTCATCTCGGCAAACGAACTCACAGCTAGGTTTCTGTCCACAATTAAAACCAAAATGTACCGTTGTTTGTAGCTGAACAGGCTGAATATATTCCGTATAGGGACTCCATTAAATTAGCATCTGTAACATGTAATTTAACATATTTAGTAAGCGTTGCCTATTATGATTAGAATCCTGACGTGGTGCTTGCGCGCCCTTACTCTAGAGCGTCATGTCACTTGTGTACCAGGGCGCAGTAAAAGACGGGCGGCGAGACAGACAGCGCCCCTGATTTACATGTACGTAGCATAATTAATTCAGTTGACAGTTGTGATTTGACAACGCACGTAAGATTTTGTCATTTATCTTTAGCACAAGTTAATGGTTATTTTTGCAAACTCTAAGTAGCTTAATGGTTATTTTTACATTTTATTTGATTATTGTATATTATTTTTTTACATTCAAGAGTTTTGCTTTATCAGGAATGAATTCGTCCAAGGAACACATAAACTGGATAACCGTTGGAGAAGTGATCAATCTAATTAAGAAACCTGTCGCTTTGTACACCACCCATATCGTGAAAAGATGGCATGTCACACTGTGTAAAGATTGCCTTCCATTTGGGCAATGCCCAAATCCTGGAAATTGTCAAATGAAAAAGAAGCCTGTCGACCTTTGCCGCTCTTGCAATGGATGGTACAAAGAGCTGGCCAAATCACATCTAAATAAAGATAAACGAAAGATTGAATGGCGTAAAAACTGCGACACATCAAAGTTGCCTGTTGATCCATGGGAGGTAGCTAAGTTCTTCATGCCCGTCCTTGGAGACAACAAGGGCACCGTTATTGAAGCAGAATCCACTGATTTAGCACATCTATTGAACGTTCTTGTATGGATGAAAGATGTAGCTTTTGCTCCAGACAGGCGTGTGGATCGCGATCTCGTTAATGATCTTCGTTCAGGAGTTAGAAACCCTTGGGCGCATGCACCAAACCAAGAATTAGCTGATGCTGATTTTAACAACGCTTTTGATATTGCCAATAAGTTTGTTGCCGACCTTGATAATGTTTTTAGCTGTAACGAAGTCAAGAAATGCATAGGGGATATCAAGTTAGTACAAACTAACAAAATAAGCAATGTTGTAGAAGCCGAGTTAAAAGCTCTGAATTTACTGCGCGGTGTGTTAGGTGCGGATGTCAGCCAGTTAAAAGGAGAGATAAAGAATTTAAAAGAAGATCAAAGCTTCGACAGACAAGTTATCAAGGAACAGGAAAGAATGTTAGAAAATTTGGTAAATTGCACAAAGGAATGCTCAACAAGAATGGATCGTTTTGATGAGTTGTTTTGCCGAGAAATTAGTGAAATTCGTGCTGACATCAAGTCATTACAAGGAACTAATGATCGGTTTCAACAAAAAAGCTGTTTACCTGACAAACCGCCAAAAATTTTTGGACGTGACGCCGAAGTGAAGAAAATTGTTTGTTCCTTGGTGGATGAAGGCTGTGGAATTGTTTCAATTGTTGGTGGACCAGGGTTTGGCAAAAGCACTATCGCAGTCGAAGTTTCCCATCATTTAAGCGATAGTCATGATATTGAAGTCATTTTCTCATTTCTATCAAATGTTTCCACTGTGCCTGAAGTTATTCAACGTCTCTGTCGTGACGTTGGCGTGAATCCTGGAGACGATCCTGAATCATCGTTGATATTTTGGTTAAAAAGTATTGAGAAGAAAGTTGTCCTTGTCATGGACAACATTGAGCAGCTGCTTGAAAGCAACGTGATATCTCTGTTTACTGAGTTGATGGCTACGCTCAGAAAGAATTCACGGCGACAGTTGCAGATCCTGACAACGACAAGAACCGAATTCTCAATTCCTGATCGAACTACCGAAAACGTTCATGTACGAGAGTTGGATAAAAATGCTAGTGTCGAACTTTTGAGAACGTTTTGCCGCAATAAAGAAGTAAAAGATGAAATCCTGTCTGATTTGGCTAAGCTGTGTGGTTATGTTCCTCTAGCTTTGTGTATCACAGGATCTAGAATTCCACGTCTAAATGATCCTGCTGAAATGATTAAATGGTTAAAAGAGAAGCCTATGAAAGCCTTGCAGTCAACTGACAAAAGCCAATGCGTCCGAAAAGCCATCGAGTTTTCTTTTCAAATGTTGAGTAGTGAAGACAAGAAAGCGTTGGTTCGTCTTTCGGTGTTCAATGGAAATTTTCAAAGAATGTCTGCTGAAGAGGTAATTGATAGAGATGATTTCGAAACGCAAGATTTGTTAGACCAGCTCGTAGCTCGAAGTTTAATACAGAGTAGCAGCGATAACCGTTTCGTGATTCACTCGCTTATTCGACGGTATCTGGCCGATCATGAACAACTTCAAGATGAAAAGGCAGTAGCACAAGGATTGATGGTGAAACATTTTCTAAAGATGTGCCATTTGTGGACTATAGATTCTTATACCAAAGATAGATTTATCGATGCCCGAGAAAAATTGAAGACGGACAGCCACAATGTTGAGGAAACGTTAAAAGTTTGCTGCCAAGATCCAAACGTCGTCGAGTTGTTAGTAAATAGTGATATTTACAAGTCTTCATCCACGTTCTTTTACCGTTTCTGCCGGTATCTTCTTCCGCAAATTATTTTGAGGAATTTTCAGGAATCTTGTATTAATCTGGCGAAAACTCGAAAGCAACTAACCATTGCGATCACATTTCAATGTTTGGTAGCAGGTCAAGAAGGTCGTAAATCTGCATGGAAATCTACTGAATATCTCGACATGATGGAGGCGATCAAAGATGCTTTAGACCAAAATAAAGCGGTGCTGAAAGAGGATAGGTCCGTATATAGCTATTGTTACTATTTTTATGCCCGATTTCATTCTAGCCAAGCAAATGTTACACCATGTCCTGATCTAGAGGAAGATGACCTTTCGCCTTTACCTGAAAACAACGATCGAAGCCCAATGAAGAATGCTGAAGAGACACTTATTTTAATCCAGCGTGCACGTTTGAACAAGAAACGTGCAGTGAAAGTATTTCGTTCAGATAAAAAAAAGTACGAGGATTACATGAACTGTGCAAAATCATTTTACGACCAAGCCTTGTCGACAGCGAAAGAGTTCTTGGGCGATCATGAAATAACGTGTATTTGTTATAAATTGTTAGGAGACTTATACTTACATTGGCGGAAGAACGATGAGGCAATGGAATATTATTCTGATGCAATAAAACTGAGGAAGAAACTACAGCTTGATTCTAATGAGGCTTTTGTGTACTTGCTCAAGAATTATGGGTTATGTTTACGTTTTCTTCGCCGCTTTGAAGCTTCAGTGGAAAATTTAAACGAGGCATGTGACATAGCTGATAAACTCGCTGAGAAGCACACACCTTGTAGAGCAAATGTGTTATATCAGTTGGCAAACACGTATCGTGCCTGGAAACCTGATTGCCAAGAATCCGCGAAATACGCTAAAGAGGCAAAGGAGATGCAAGTGTTGTTGGACCCACGCACTGTAAAATCATTGGAAGATATTATAAAAACGGCAGAAGAATACATGAAAGAAAAAAACCTCATCAGGTCATTTCAAAATATCGTGAATGTTGTTAGAACTGATCGACAGCTCCAACAAAACAGCAGCATACCCGACAAACCACTGACATTTGTTGGGCGTTGCGCCGAAGTAAACAAAATTATTTATTCCTTGGTGGAGAACGGCTGTGGAATTGTCTCGATCGTTGGTGGACCAGGGTTTGGCAAAAGCTCCATTGCAGTTGAAGTTTCCCATCATTTAAGCAACATGCATGACATCGTCGTTATTTTCTCATTTCTATCAAATGTTTCAACTGTGCCTGAAGTTCTTCTACGTCTCTGTCTTGATGTTGGCGTTAATCCTGGAGAAGATCCTGAATCAGCGTTGTTGTTTTGGTTAAACAATACTGAGAAAAAAGTTCTCCTTGTTATGGACAACATCGAGCATATGCTTGAAGAAGAAGTGAGATCCGAATTTACTGAGTTAGTGGTCACGCTCCGCAAGAATTCACAGCAACAGTTGCAGATCCTAACAACGACAAGAACCGAATTCTCAATTCCTGAACAAACCACCGAAAACGTACAATTAGGAGAGTTGGACGAAAAATCTTGTGTCGAACTTTTGAGAAAGTACTGCCCTAATACAGAAGTAAAAGATAGTTACTTGTGTGACTTGGCGGACCTGTGTGGTTTTATTCCTTTGGCTCTGTGTATCGCTGGACCTCGAATTGCAGATCTTGATGATCCTTTTGAGTTGATTCATTGGCTAAAAGAGAAGCCTGTGAAAACTTTGCTGACCTCTGACAAAAGCCAGTGTGTCCGAAAAGCCATTGAGTTCTCTTTCCAGCAGTTGAATGATGATGATAGGAAAGCGTTGGCTCGCCTTTCGTTGTTCAATGGAAATTTCCAAAGAAAGTCTGCCGAAGAGGTAATTGAGAGAGATGAGTTGGTCACACAAGATTTCTTAGAGCAGCTTGTTGCTCGAAGTTTAATAATGCAGAGAAGCAGTGACAAGCGCTTCCTGATTCATTCACTTATTCGACGCTTTTTGGCCGATCATCATCAATTTCAAGATGAAAAGATTATAGCACAAGGGTTGATGGTGAAGCATTTTCTGAAGATGTGTCATTCTTTAACAATGGATTCTTTTTCCAAAAATGGATTTACTGATGCGAGAGAATCATTGAAGATGGACAGTCACAATGTTGAGGAAACGTTAAAAGTCTGCTGCCAAGATCAAGCAACAAACCTGAATCCAAACATCTTCGAGTTGTTAATAAATAGTGATATTTACAAGTCTTCATCCAGGTTGTTTTACCGTTTCTGCCGGGATCTTCTTTCACAAACTATTTTGAGGAATTTTCAGGAATATTGTATTAATCTGGCGAAAATTCGAAAGCAACTAACCATTGCGATCACATTTCAGTGTCTGGTAGCAGATCAAGAAGGTCGTAAATCTGCATGGAAATCTACTGAATATATCGACATGATGGAGGCGATCAAGGATGCTTTAGACCAAAATAAAGCGGTGCTGAAAGAGGACAGGTCCTTATATAGCTATTGTTACTATTTTTATGCCCAATATTATTCTAAGCAAGCACATATTACACCATGTCCTGATCTAGAGGAAGATGACCTTTCGCCTTTACCTGAAAACAACGATCGAAGCCCAATGGAGAACGCTGAAGAGACACTTATTTTAACCCAACGTGCACATTTGAACAAGAAACGTGCAATGAAAGTATTTCGTTCAGATAAAGAAAAGTACGAGGATTACATGAACTGTGCAAAGTCATTTTCTAGTCAAGCTTTGTCGGCATCTCAAGAGTTGTTCGGCGATCATGAATTAACGTATATTTCTTATAAAGCATTAGGAGATCTGTACTCACTCTGGCGGAGAAACAAGGAGGCGTTGCTGAATTATTCCGGTGCCATAAAACTGAGCAAGAAACTAAAACTTGATTCCAACGAGCCTTTTGTGTACTTGCTAAAGAGTTATGGGTTATGCTTGTCTTTTCTTCGTTACTTTGATGAATCAGTCGCAATATTAAACGAAGCTCGCGACATAGCTGACAAACTCGCTCAGAAGCACTCCCCTTGTAGAGCCAATGTCTATTGTGCGTTGGCAATAGCGTATCGTGCCTGGAAACCTGATTGCAAAGAAGCCGCGAAATATGCTAATGCAGCAGTTAGGATGGGAGAGTCGTTACACAGCGTAAAAACAATGAAAGACATTATTAAAACAGCAGAAGAACACATGGAGTGAGAGATCGCTCAACAATGTTTCGACGTCAATTCCTTTTTTGAAAATAACGTTGACTGGCTTTTGTAACACTGCTCCAAGAATTATGAGCAGTTTATTTTATTTTTTATGCATAAACGTCACTAATTCGGTTACCTTATCAATGATCAGATATGACAGCATCTTTCAAGTTTGCATGAGATAAACGTCGAATGGAAAACTGGTTTAGATAAATCATCTGACAGTTTACTGAAGTCTTCTTTAACAGACAAAAAAAGATTTCGTAACAAAATCAACCGGCTAATTGTAATGCCATGAAAGGTGAATGGAGCTGTTTTTCCTTCGAAGAATATTCGAACAATAACGTTCTATCTATTGTAATGGTACCTCTAGAACATTTTTCAGTAGGAGCCTTTGACTCCTTTCCTCATAGAAGACTCTTTAATCTGACTGACGTCCTTAGCTATAATACGGATATTGCCGAGTGGTTTGTAATCCAGAGAATTGTACTGCTTTTTATCGTGATTTAACTTCAATGTGAAAATGATCTGAGTATTATTTAACTGCGACAAATGTGAAATTTAAGAGTATATGGAAAAGGACGCACTCCCCCACCGTTAATCCCTACACCATCACCCATGCACCTGCTGTTCTGGTTCGCTCATACAAAAATTTCGTCATCGTAGTTAATTAACAATACCTAATTAACAATACCGATCTATCCGTTTAATTTTCAATTGAAGCTAATATCCTGATGCCAACCACAGCAGAAGTTCGCCTTGGTATATAAATTGTCTTCAAATATTGAAATGATACATTTAATCTGCAGCTCGAAAAATGCATCCAAATCTTAAGTCGCAGAGCCAGGAGCTATACCGAAAGTTTGGACCCATATTCAGTACTAGTTTATTGTTGTCGTACATCATTATTTAGAGACTAATTCTATAATCGCATTGTGCAACTATGGATCGAACAATCTACCGATTGAAGTCCGTAAATCAGTTACTTTGAAACCAGTTCCCTTGAAACCCCAATATATATTTCAATCAGTTAAATAACATTTTTTATAATAACTGACTAATCACGTGGAAGGCAATATGTCCTTATTGTAGGTCTACTGGCAAACCTCTCTGCTGTTGAGAGTTGAGAAATGACACTACTTAGCATTTGGTTTCCTGTTTCTAGCCCTTGATTTTTAATATTTAGCCGCATGATTTGGCCATTAATATTATTGCCATCTTTCAACATTTGATATCAAGAAAGGTAACATCGCCATTGGTAAAGGTTCATGAATTTTCAGATGATTGAAAAGTACAACTCTAAAGCATAGTATACGAAAAAAAACGATGGTTTTAAAGGAAATCTGTGATTGAATTAGTACCACAGGAAACGCCAGATTAGACGCACATGTACGTAATTTTCCAGTTAACCCCAAATCAGTCGTAGCCTATGTATGAAAATGAGAAGAAATGTATGTGTGACCAATCAGCAATTGGAGACATATATACAACAAAAATTTACACCGTCGAAGTACCCAAAGACAATGGCTTGGATAATGGATAAATGCAATGATATCGTTTTCATTCGTAAAATCTGCTTTCCTTTCCCTTCAAGGGGCGAGAAGATTAATAAAGAAACAATATGTTGCGAAAGAAACAGACAAGTTAATTTATTTGACAGACAGGGAAATTGTAGGAACAATTTTGGCTGTTGTTTAGCTTTTTATCCAAAGGAATGTTTGATTTCACAATTTTCAACCAAATGACAATTTTAAACACTATAATATAGATGAAAAATTTTAAATAAAGATTTTTTAATCGTATTTCCTCGGCTATTGACTCATATACAACTCTAGCTCATGTGTAATTTTTACGAATCTCAAGTCAAGTGGAAATATTCGAATTTTTTTTTATTTCTCCAATCATTCCATTTAGTGTTCCTACAAAGGAAGAAATACTAAGATCTGCTGCAATTCGTACGATTTTTAGAAAATCTTGATTTCGCGGGTTATGAGTTAATTTTCATGCAGTGATGCCTAAATTACTTTGAATTTGTACTCGAGTAAAAGTAGAAGTAATTTACAATAAAACGACTGGAGAAAGAGTAAAAAGTACTGGAGGCAAAACGTACTTAAGTAAAAAGTACAAAGTATCTTTAAAAA